GGGTAGGCGGCGCGGGGAGGCTGCCGGCGGCGGGGACAGGATGGGGGGGTGTCCGGAAGGCTTCCAGGCAAAGGCCTGGAAGCCTTCGACACCCCCGTACCCTTCCCCCGCCGCCGCTGAGAGCCTTCCGAGCTCTCAAAGGGCTTTCTCCAATATCGGAGGGGGCCCTTTGAAAGCTCGGAAGGGAATTATCGCCAGGGGACGGTGGCTTCGGGGTCCTTCCAAGGCCGCAGCCCACTGCCGACATTCCCCCCCAGCTGAGCGGCGGGGCTTAAAAGCTCCCGCCGCTCAGCTGGGGGAAAATGGTGCCTATGGGGAAAAATCGCAAAGTGATTTTTCCCCATAGGCAAGATCGTAGTGCGATCGCAAAAGCGATGGCAAAAAAGCCATCGCTATGCGATTTTTTCGTTAAATGGGGCGCTCATTATGCAAGGCACCACTGTATTAGCCCCCCCCAAAGACACAAGCGACCATAAATCTACAGGTAATAGACAAGAAATGAAAAACGTAGATAAGACAAAATCTGCATACCTTATGGGAAAAAATCCTGCATTTTAACTTCTTTTTTTCATCACAGGAATTCGGCCATTCATGGCTCCAATTCAGACCCTTTAATTACTGCTTTTTATCCTGTAAAATGTCTGAAATAGCTCCTTTTAAAATAACTTCTAAGAATTCTGAAGGAACTATTTTCATAGCATGGAATTCTGGCCATTCAGAATTGCTTTCAGTCATTCTACTAAGTAGTAGTCTGTCATTTTTAACTCTGCTGTGGTGTTCAGTGTAAAATAAAGCATGTCACTCCTTCCTGGCCACACATTCTTACCTCCTGCCTGTGGAAATATTTATAAAGCTGTTTTTTAAAAATAGGCAATAACTCACTCATTTGAGCTGTGAAATTACTGTTCTTTGTTCCCTTTGTGGCTTTGAATGATCTCAAAACCACTGTCCAATCATAGGTGGCATCTTTGACCACAGTCTACAAGGCAGAAACTATGGATTCCACAGCTTTGCAGTGGTGCAAAAACATGCATCACGAGTATGGATCTTCATAGGTCCACACAGGATGACCCTTAAACCACTCTCCAAACATAGGCCCCATCTGTGCCCACAGACTACATCACAGGCATTATCGCTCCCCCAGCGCATGGCTTTGCAGTGGTGCAAAAACGTTGATCTGATGCATGGATCTTCATGGAGTCACATGATTTTTACGAAGTATCATGCCCAAACCACTGTCCAATCATAGGCTCCATTTCTGCCCACATACTTAAAAAACAGATGGAATTGGGTGTCATCAACACATTGGTGGGAACAGACCACAAAATTCTGGACAACCACTTTCAGTTTATATACAGTGGTGCCCCGCATAGTGACGATAATCAGTTCCGAAAAAATCATCAGTATGTGGATTCGTCGCTACGCGGGGCAAAAAAGCCCATAGGAACGCATTAAAACACGTTTAATGCGTTCCTAAGGGCAAAAAACTCACCGTCCTCCATGCGGCCACCATTTTTGCTGCCCTGTAAGTGAGGAAAGGGCGTGAAAACACAGCAGGCAGCCATTTTCTTCACCCAGTGGCCATTTTTGAACCACCAATCAGCTGTTCTTAAAATATCGTTATGCGATAATCGGTAAGCGAAACGCTTACCGATCATAGCAAAGCGATCTTTTACCATCTAAAGCACATTGCTATGCGGATTCGTCATTAAATGAATTGCTCATTATGTGGGGCACCCCCCCTCTCTTATGTGAGCCACCCTCTCTCTCTCTGTATGTATGTATGTATGTATGCATGCATGCATGCATGCATGCATGCATGCATGTATGTATGTATGTATGTATGTATGTATGTATGTATGTATGTATGTATGTATGTATGTATGTATGTATGTACATACACAGTGGTGCCCCGCATAGCGAGGTTAATCTGTTCCAGTTTAACCTTCGCTATGGGGAAACATCACTAAACGGAACGGAAAAGCCCATTGGAACACATTAAAATGGGCCCAAAACTCACCGTTCTGCGATGTTTCCCCATGTTCCGGCGGCCATTTTGGGTGTTCCGGCGGCCATTTTGAAACCGCTGAACAGCTGTTTATTGCAATGCAATAAAACATCAGTATGCGCTCGCATTAGCGATCGCAAAATCTGCATCACTATGCGGATTCATCGTTAAACGGTGCGCTTGTTATGCGAGGCACCACTGTATATATATAGTGGTGATCCTCCTTTGCGCCCTTTATAACTTTGGGCTCCACAAAGGTGAACACACCCTTTTCGCTGCCACCAGGTATTCTCTTAATAACAGTACAATTCCCACACACTTAGGAGCTACTCAAAGAACTTAGGAATCAGGGGTTTTGATCAAACTTTCTTTTATTAAACAACAAAAATGATAAGGAGAATCAAATATAATTGTTCTGGTATTCAATTACATTAAATCATGTATTCAGTCACTGGTATTATTCATATTATGCTTATGCATTCATTCCTGCTTGTTCAATATGATGTAAACTGTTCAATTCTCATTCCTAATCCCTCTAATCTATTCCTAAACCTTAACACTCTCTGAATAACTTCTTGTCCCTACTTCTCTCTATCCCTGTCCTATTCCAACTCTCCTTAACTGTCTCTTCCAGCGGTCTATTTGTCATTCTGACTCCGCCCCTCCTGCTCTATCTTCTGATTGACATGCAGGAATGATGTCATCTTTTGGAATCCGCTACATACCTCCCCCCTTAGCAAGTTTGTTCCATGGAGTAAACCTATAGTGGTTTGCTCCATGAAGAACATAGAAGCAATTTAATATTTCCACCAACTTATAAATAACATTACACATTTTAAATTCACATTAATACTTACTCTACATATTTACCTTCAATCCATTAACGTTTGCAATCAACACTTTCAATTCCTTCGTTATTACAATACACTTTTCCATTGCTTACCCTTTTTCATTTAAAAGTACAGTTACTTTTGCTTGTTCTGGTATTCAATTACATTAAATCATGTATTCAGTCACTGGTATTATTCATATTATGCTTATGCATTCATTCCTGCTTGTTCAATATGATGT